AAAGGAAAGGAAAGGAAAGGAAAGGAAAGGAAAGGAAAGGAAAGGAAAGGAGTTTACTGTAGATATAATGCTTTGATTGTTAGACTAATAAGCTAATGAAAACTTGATTTTTATCCTTTTAGATTAAACATTTTCTATTTGGTTAACGTCCGACAAAGAAAACTCTTGAAACACAGCTAATGATAAACAAACACATCTTTATTCTGCTCATTTACCCAAACAAAAAACAAAAAACAAAAAAACCCCGAAATCCTAACAAAAAACACTTAGCATCAGATGAATTTACCTTTTGACTTTATTTAAAGTTACCTGGACAAACGTGCCTAAAAATACTTCATTGTCACAGATTTCCATTGTTTTAGACCAAATACACGACCTCAAGGAATCATCTAGGGCTATCCCAAGTGCCTTTTGTGAGCTTATTATTGTTTGCTTTGGTTTCAAGCGGTTTATGTGCATCTTTTTCTAACGATACTTTCGCTACTAGCAATACTAATACTAAAGGTGTTGCTTTAGAATTTGACGGAGGCATGTTCGACTAATTTGGCAATTTTAGGATCTGTACTGAACCTGAGAATACTCCATTGTTTTGTCGAGTATCTCTGAAGAATTTCTTAAAGAATTTAGGCCATGTCCACACTATGCCGGATAAATTTTTATCCGGATAAATTGAAGCGAAAACGAATGAAAAGTTTTGCGTCCACATTAATACGATCTTAGCCGCATAAATCATCAAAACCACCTCTCCGTATGTGCCTCGTCTTGTTTAGGGTTCATATCAAGCCGATAGACGCCCGAAGAAATCATAAACACAGTCGAAATAAAGAGAACTTTACATAAAAAGGCAATGCGATAAACCTCTCGTGGCTAGATAACAAAGTTAAGCGATTACCGTAGCATTTACAAAGATGTAGCCACTCTTTTTTTACAAGTACTGAACAAAATGACATCTAAGCATAAGAAAGTAATGTAAGAGTTTATTTAGAATCAGAAAAGCAGCTTCAAGTTGATAAATTAAAAAAAAAAAAACAAAAAACAAAAAACAAAAAAAAAAAACAACTCCAACCAAAAGCATATAGGTTTCGATGATGATCCCTAAAGCAGAACGGTTCCATGAAAACGTAACCAAAAACAATAGAAAAAGTTCCGTTTACAAATTGTTTTGCGTCCACACTATTACGCTTAGCCGGATCTTTTCTAGCCGGATAAAAATTCTTCCACTCTAAAGACCGTCTTTGAAAAGTTCTGTTTCCGGTGGAGAACTGTTCCGGATTCATGCGTATTAGTGTGGACGGAAGGCCTAAGCGGATAAATAAAGTGCGTTTTCAATTTTTTCCGGCATAGTGTGGACGGGGCCTTAGAAAAAAAAAAGAAGCTAAAAGCAGATACATTCCGACTTAAATACGATTGATTCTTTTTTAATTTCGAAAATACCAATTAATCAGCTCTTTAAATGGAAAATATTTTATCTCACTCACGATGTATATAAACCTGGATCATCATGACAAGACCTTTATTCTAAAAAAACCAACCCATTAAAGGATTACTCAGCCATTTAAGCCGTTATTTAATGTTTTAACAGTCTGTAAAGAGAAGTTGAATGGCCTTTTGTTGAGTTGTTAGTCCACATGTACAGGTGATACGAAGAATGTTACTACAAAAGGCACATACTAATAACGATGTAGGAGCAGTTGGTAAAGGACTTTGAGAATACTAGATCTTTGGGCTGTGGATGCTGAAAAGATGATCTTGATTCTTGTACTCGCTCTTTGTGGTTTGACCACAGCAGGTATGTCGAAAATTAAACTTTTTTTGGTGTATTGTTCTCTCCTGCTCTAGGAAGGGTTGGAGTTGAGTTTGTTTGATGTGTTGTTCTCTCCTGCTCCAGGAAGGGTTGGAGTTGAGTTTGTTTGATGTGTTGTTCTCCCCTGTTCCAGGAAGGGTTTGAGTTGAGTTTGTTTGATGTGTTGTTCTCTCCTGCTCCAGGAAGGGTTGGAGTTGAGTTTGTTTGATGTGTTGTTCTCT